GATATCTCAAAAGCTATCCATTGTATTTCAGCTTTCTCATCGATATCTCAAAAGCCATCCATTGTATTTCACTGACACAGTGTGTACATACACACACACTCATACACACAGGCAGGTGTAACAGTAGTTGTGATGCCACACATTGGATTAACTTTTAATATAGTTGTGATATGAACTTGATTAAAACGAGTTCCTATATAGGGTTGCGATTTAGAACGTAGAATTGCATTTTAATTAAGTTTAATTAAACAAAACTTGAATATCCCGTTACTGAACATAGAAATGTTTGCGAAGCTTAGGATTACTATAATATTAATATGAATATAAACTGAACCATACCGAAACTAAACCTAAGCTACGGAAACTTGACTTAAATTTGATTAAATATTAATATAAATTATCAGTATAGTCAGGGTTGTAACAATGTAGGTCCTGTCATCACAAGTCGGTGTAAAGTTAAATTGAAGTCATCACAACGTTGTTACCACACACGCACACACTCACATACACACACATATCAAATATATCCAGAGTTAACAACAAATTATTCTAATTTTGTCCTGATTACCTTTAATATAAACTGAATACAATATGTAAATGTTTGGAGTATATGCAAATATTTTAACACAAACAAAACTTAATCTTGATTGGAATATAGAGAACAGTAACCACAATTTGATGTTTTATAACAATTGTCCACTCAGCAATTATTTTAAAAAATAATTATAAAAAAGTCAAACCATCTCCTCTGATTGAAATAATTGAGCATTTAAAAGTATGTATAATTTATTATGTAAATGAATACAAAAGTACATTGACCCCTTACAGATGTAAGTACATCAACAACAAACAACAACAAAATTAAATCAACCACTTACAAGACAAAAGAAATTAAATCAACCACTTACAAGACAAAAGAAATTAAATCAACCACTTACAAGACAAAAGAAATTAAATCAACCACTTACAAGACAAAAGAAATTAAATCAACCACTTACAAGACAAAAGAAATTAAATCAACCACTTACAAGACAAAAGAAATTAAATCAACCACTTACAAGACAAAAGAAATTAAATCAACCACTTACAAGACAAAAGAAATTAAATCAACCACTTACAAGACAAAAGAACGGTAACATTTCACAAACAATTCAAATACTTAATCATGCCACGCAAATGTTAATCAGAATATTATTATTTAAAATGAGATAAATGAATTAGATACATCAACATTCTTGATTAAAAAACTTAAAAAAACTCAGATACTAACAATTTCTGGAAAATGGGTTGTTAAAAACTCTTCCAGAACAGGTTTATAAAAACAGAATTATTTTATAGAAAAAAAAGTACATTGATTTTTAATTAAATTAACAAGAGAAAAGAGAAGTGCTTTTAGAATCTTGTACCAAACATATAGATGCATTTACTATTCTAATTGTAGCTACAATTTGCTATGATATAATAATTGATTGTGTTAAGACTTGGACACACAACATTCAAAAGAAAATTCAAATGACTGCAATTGGTAATTTGTTGTTCACTGCATATCCACTAACATAATGTAATGATTCAAATTACAACTTTGAATTCAAGACATGTCCAAAGTAAAGACACTAGAAACACAAAAGACCAGAGAACTAAAATTCCAGTTTTGTAAACAAATATTACACCATTATGACAGCACATTTCAACATCTTCTGGGCAACATTCACCCAACTGGATCCCAATTCTAAATGGGAATAGACAGAAGGGTATTTTTTCTCTATGAGTTTACTAGCATGAAGTATGTTCTTTACACGCAAACTCAAACTTGCTGGCATCTTCTTAGATGGTTCAAAGCTGTTGATGTCAAACCAATCAGGGAAGATGTTCTTCACACAAACAAGTGTTATTATAACAAAGACAACTTTGGTGATGTTTTCTTTGGCAGCAGAACCTATAAAACAATGTATTGT